GCTCTGTGAATTCCTCAATCGTTGTATCTGGCGGTTTATATATTAGAATAATAATTAGGTTTAGTTTCTCTACCTTCATTCCAAGTACCTCTACCACCTCATTAGTTGAATTTAGTAGTTCTGTGCATACCAGGTCTTCTTTAATATACAGACCTACTCCTCCATTTGACCTAGTTTTTCTATCACATCTATATAGATTATAATTTGGAATCCAGATTTCACCATCCATGTAATCTTTTGTATCAGCTCCCGAAGCTGCTCTAGTCTCACCACCAACTAAACCCCACCCCGACTTTGAAACCCTCAGATATTGTAGAGTTGGGAACGGGGGGAGCAAGAGCAGAGCTAACAGCAGAAGGACTAGGAAGTGCGGACGGAACCAAAGTCGAACGACTATCCCCTCCAAGTCCGAAGCCCCATAACCAAGTGGGGCAGCCTCAGGGCATCCATGTGAGCAACCAACCTAGCGAGCTGCAGCAAACAATACCTTGCATGCAACACCGAAGTCGCCTGTACCTGAATATCAATATCAGTGGAAGGGGTAAACTGGAGTACGATCAAGGAATATGACTCGCAAGACTCCGGGTCAAAGGTGCTATTGACCCAACAGGCAGCAAGATGGAGGCGAAACAGGCGAGTGTCACCCTGAGACAAGTGGACAGAGCAACTTTCAAACCCGCACTCGGAGAGTTGGAACTCAGAGGACACATCCATAGGCCCAATAAGCCCCAATGGGATTTTCCAGGGCCCTTAGGCTGACTGCTAAGGGAAGCCCAGGCAAGATACCGGTAACCGGTTAGGCCCAAACTATCAAGAGAACTGCTAAAAACTGAACCCCCTGCGGGGTGTGCAATTACAGGGGCCTAGCGAAGGAAAACACTGATACAACAGGTGGTGGATCAAAACCAAAGGGGCAGACCCCTCACCAAAGCAAAAGAAACAAAAATAAAAAGAAATCCTCGCCAATGCACAATGTCCCCAGAAGAAACAGAACCGGCCGCTGTGAATAATGGGAGACAAGCTGTACAGTACCTTGCGCCCCTACCAGCAACGACACCACCACCTACCCAAGGTCAAAAAGGAGCGATGAACACCACAGCTGGCCCCCAAGGGCAGCAATTGCCGGACAGCAAAAGACCCCATGGAAGTGGTTCCCGAATGCCCTGTGGAAGGTAACCCCTAGAACGCAAGGGTAGTACTTACAGGGCACTTAGGAAAGGTGGCCCTAAGCACATACAGCCCCAGTACACTAATTTCACCAGGCCACTGCACCACAAACAACAGATACACCACAAAGATATAAACACTGCTGTCACTGAGGCCAGAGTCAATGTCTAACCCGAAGCGCATCAGTCAACAAACTGAGCTGTGGGTAGTAGGTGCGGTGAGTCCAAGGCTTCCCCCTGTCAGGGAGGGAAGGGCTGTGCAACAGCAGTGCATGATATTTGCTTGTTTGCTTGTTTCTTTAGATAGGGGGAGTTCTGCCTTTTTGTTCAGTCTTTGGTTGCAATTTTTCTTGCCATCTTGAGGTTATCTTGAGATGATATTGGGGCTTAGCATCCCCGCGGCCCGGTCCTCAACCAGGCCTCCTTTTTGTTACACCCCCCCCAGGAAGCAGCCCGTAGCAGCTGTCTAACTCCCAGGAACCTATTTACTGCTAGGTAACAGGGGGCACCAAGGTGAAAGAAACACTTTGCTCGTTTGTCTCCGCCTCCACCGGGGATCGAACCCAGAACCTCAGGAATACGAATCCGAAGTGCTGTTCACCCAGCTGTCAGGCGCCTGTGGGGTGTTTTGTTATGCCTACCTTTTTGGGTGCTAACCCAGTTGATGGCAGACATGGAATACCCCCAAATACAAGGGGGTTTCCATAGGCAATTGCTCCCTTTGCCTTTCTGTGGGGGCCAGGTTCTGGCTCGTGGTCCCCAGTAGGCTGAATCCCCAATTGACTGATGAACCCGGACAAATAAGCACAGATCAGTCCGATAGCTTCAGGGAGCCGCAGAGGCTCTCCACAGAAAAGTACAAGTATTCTGTGACTCGAGAATTTCAGAATGAGACCTAACAACATGTGGATTTCATGCAGGTGCTTGTATTTCAGAATCAGTCTGACATAGGTTGATACTAGAATACAAGTAGGTACAGTGGTACCTTGAGTAACGAATTTAATCCGTTCCATGTTCGTCATGTGAAACGGACGTCATACAAAATGAGTGTCCCCCATGTAACCAGTGTGATGCACTGTGTTCATTGTGAAATTCCCCCAGTGTGCATGACATCAAATGTTCCCCAAAATATCATTTTTCTTTGTAAAATGATAAATTACCTTCCCTGAACATGTCTATGTAAAAATAATTACCAAATTCCACTTACTTTGGCTGTGAGGGCGTGGACAAGGTGCGCTGTGACGTCATCAGGGCCTGGTCGCCTGTGTGTGAAGCTCCCAGACACGGTCGTGCAGGCCATTCAAGCACCGCGTATTGCCACAAATATATTTTCAAATATTTTTTTCTACGTATTTCCAACGCGGTTTTATTTGTTTCTTTCATCGTATGTTTCAGTAATGTGTCCACAATAAATATTTATTGTCACAATATTACACGGTAAAAATTCACTAAAATTACAATATATACAGTTTCACATACTATTTACACAGTAACACACTGTATTACACACTCAGTACTTTGGAGGTGCGTAATAGTCAACGAAGTAGTCCATAGTACACAGCACGACTTTGCTCTCCTTGCACCAGCTACAGATAGATTTTCGTTTCCTGTTTCATCGTTCTGTGTGCTTGCAAATAACGCACTCGCGTGCACCCTTGACTTTAGTACTTGTAGGTGGTATGTAGCCAAACTTGTAAAGCATAAGGTAGTATTGAAACGATTATAGGAAAAGCTCAATTTGTAAGGTAGTCTTGAAAAGATCGCTTTGTAAGGTCCCACACAGGAAGAGATTCAGCTAGCCTCAAAGAGTGTCCATCAGTCAGGAAGAGATTCAGGTATTCTTGAAAATATCTATGGACAACACCAGCAAGGAAGCCGCTAACACTGTTCATCTATGCTACTTGTATCAGATGCATTATCACTGAACGCAGAAAACGATTCATCTATGTATCATCTATATAAATTGGAGATGGCAAGGGTGGGGCTCAGAGCTACACCTGGATACGCTCACTGTATCATCCTCATAGGTGCTGTATCACTGGCATCCGACCGTTGTGTTAAGCCCTTATTGCGCCTAGCTTCACCAATGTTATGACCCTTACGTTCTTCAAACACCGTCTTTCAACACCGTGTTGGACAGGTGTTTGAGAGCCAGAGCCACGTGTGCCACAAATGGTTGCTCACGCCGTACTAACCCAACCAGCAGCCCTTGTCTTTCATATTCGCTATAGCAAAAGGTTCGTTCGGTGTTTGTTGGGTAGGCTGCTCCATTATGACAATCTTTCTTTGTTTCAAATGTGTTCCATTTGTTTTGTATTTGTCACTTACGTCTCAATAATGGAGCAGCCTACCCGAACGAACTGTTTCAACAGTTCTTTCATTTTTCGTTTTTTTTTTATTTAAGAAACATGGAGCAGCCTACCTGCCGACCACCGAATGAACCTTTTGCTATGACAAATGAAAAATAAATATTGAACACATTTGAAGAAATTAAAATGTCATAATGGTTTGTTGAGTGTATATGTAAGGTAGGCTTCTCCATTATTGAGACATAAATGACAAATACAAAACAAATGGAACACATTTGAAACCAAGAAAGATTGTTATAATGGAGCAGCCTACCTGCCGAACACGGAACGAACTTTTTTGACATTTGTTGTATATCAGACATTTCATTTCTTTTTTTCCTACAAAAACGTCAATGCTTTGCAACATCTCAGCAGTCACCCTTTTATATCCCAGCATCATTAGCATCTTTAAACAAGAACAACATAATTTATGTGCATCGTCGGAGGCGTCTGAGAATGTGCAAGCAGCAGTGCGACCCCACCGTGTGGTGTTGACGTTACTCAAACTGGCGTTCGTCATACGGGACGATTTGACGCCGAGCGGGCCGTTCATTACCCAAAATGTTCGTCTTTTGGGGCGATCGTTATGCAAGGTACTACTGTATATCTGTTGCATACCTGTCGATGATTCCGAGGATCAACGTCACCGCAGCCTGGTCTCTGACCAGGCCTCCCGGTTGGTAGTCTGGTCAACCAGGCTGTTCGATGCAGCTGCTTGCAGCCTGACATATAAGTCATAGCCTAGTTAATCAGGTATCCTTTGAAGGTGATTTTTCAAGATAATTTTTTCAAGATTTTTGAATTATATCTTGAACCAGTTCTTGAATGCTCTTCTAAAAGTATTCTTGTTTATGTTTTTGTATTCCGTTCCACACATTTTTGTGGCTTTTATCCAGTGATCCACGTATATATACATTATCCAATAAAATCAGCAGATTCCTAGATGCTACTATTACTCTGCTTGGACTCGTTCGTCTATAGGTATTTCTGGGAGTTTGCATTACTTACTGGTGCAGACCTGTAAACTGTCAGCAAAATTACTCGCACACACTGCATCACTATGTGAAGGAGTGTGAAAAGATAAATGAATTTAGAGACAGCTCAATAACAAATGTTGAAATGTGTAAATATTTCATTAACAATTATCTACTACCAGAAATTTTAGCGAAATATCCCCAGTTAACTAACTGTCGACAGTAAATGCAGGTGACTGTAACCCTTCCGCCAGTGCTCACTGGATGGGGGCTGTATAATAAATGAACTTAATTTGAAAATGATTCGTTTTAGCCTTTCCTTTCTGGTGAAGATTCCTTTTGGTTTCCATTCCATTTACCTATTTTCATTACCTTGCACTTGACTCGGTTGAACTCTTTTAAAGCCATTTTACCAACCACTCCTTTAGTTTGAGAAGGCCATCACTGGTAACCAGATAAGTATCGAAGATCTTAACCTATGAATATACCAGTTAAAAAATTATTCAACTTACATCTGAGTGACCGGGAAGAGGAAGGAGTGGGAGTGTCGCCGTTTGTATCCATGTCTGCATATAGTTGTGCCAATTCAGAAGTTTTTTCTCTCCGCTTTCTCTCCGGCTTAACTTCTGGTTTTATTTCCTAAAATGAAATGCAATGAAAAGATATAGATATCTGAATATTCAGATATTATCTGGAAATATTTTAAAAACAGTAAGAAAGTCTCCGAACATATTTATGTATATATATTGTATACAATATAATATGTGTAATAAATGTGTCTTTGAGACTTATGGGTCCCTACAATCAACCAGAGGTAGTACCCCCCCCCCCTATATATATATTCAGTACAAAAAATATATGTATATTATAATAATAATAATTATTATTATTATTATTACAATAATAATAATAATAATAATATTAATAATAATAATAAAAATAATAATAAAAAAAATTCATAGTGTTGGGGATAGACAGTCCGAGTGTATTTATGCACGTCAGGCTTATATCCAGGTCCCCTCCCCAAAGTCGAACTAATGAATCTGCCCAGGATGCAACCCCACAACATGCTGACTCACTCCTGGATACCTACTCACTGCTAGGTGAACAGACGAACACAGAATTCCGGATTGTAATTCGAGAATGAACCCGACTGTACTACTGGAACTCCTTAACCCCTTAACTGCGCCGCCTCCAAATATGACACCCTCCCAGTGCGTAGGAAATAAAATCTCTGGAAAAAATTCTTTTCTGTTTTGAAAGTGTCAAAAACCCTTCCCTGAGTATGGGTATAGTAACAGAAGGTCGAAATTGTACGTACTTTCGCTGCTATGGGGTCTGTAAGTTCGTGTGTGGCGTCATCATTCCCTGGTCCCCCGTGGTGTATGCCCCCCGGGGCCGGTGATTAGTGAGTTGCCGCGAATATATTCTTGTTCATTTTCTGCGCACAGTTCCAAATACATCTTATATGCTTTTACGTGCCAATCTTATGTATAATGAACACGTACACTATATTATGGCAGTAGAACAACCATACTGTCCAAATACACTGTGTTACATGCATGACACTTGTGTACACATATCCAGCACATATTTCCATTGTATCATGCTAATTTATGTATATATACAGTCTATTTACAAACTATACACTATCACACACTATATACATTCACCATCAACACACTCAGAACTCTGCGAGTGTCAGCTGCCACACCCTCACTCCTCCAACAACCAGTCTCTCCTTCACTCCTCCAACATCTTACTCGCCAACATTGCTCCTCCCACCATACTGTTATTGTTTGCATTACACTATTTACACATGTTATGTATACCTATCTTCATGTTTTATTCACCAGAACTATGCAAGTAAGCCGGTATTGTGACCAAACTTTACAGTGGCCACCATACACTGCATGAGAAATCACACAACAGCCAGCAGACAACGCTACGATTACATCACCTCCCTCACCAAAATAGCTCCTCCCAACATACTCCTGTTGCTGTTACTACACTATATACACACATTGTGTATACCCACGTACAAATATGTTCACCATAACGAACCACTAAGCTAGTATGATGAGCAAAACAGGAGTGGCTGCCACACACAGTGAGGCTACCTCGATTCTCTCTCGCTCCCTCACCACAATTCTTCCTCCCACAATACTACGCACATATGTACATGGGTATATACACACACATTGTATATACCCATGTACATACATGTTCACCATAGCGAACCACTAAGCTAGCATGATGAGCAAAACAGGAGTGGCTGCCCCTCACAGTGAGGCTACCTCGATTCTCTCCCTCGCTCCCTCACCACAATTACTCCTCCCACAATACTACGTACAGTGCTTATTATCACAACAATTCTGCTGTTACCACAATACTGGTCACTAAATCCTGTAAATACATAATTGACCACAAGTTTATTTTGTAAAGGAACCTAAGTAGTGGTTGGAAGATTCCTAGATGGGCGAAATAATGCTGTGGTGCTGTGGCTAGCGATGTGAACATCGTGAACAGCATTGAATCATTAATATTTGAACATTGTACCCAGTCATTATCACACTCAGGCTCTTCTGTAATACTATCATGACTAAATAATACAAGTTATGTATATTTTTTTACACTATTAGGCGATGCTGTGGTCACAAGCTGAACAGCAGTGCTGTAAGCTCATGCTGCATGTGCCAGCCTTTGTTGCTCACTCAATACTGAGGCTCTCACACCCGGGAATGTAGACCACAATTTTTTTTTAAAGATGGCGTCTGTTTACAAGAGCCTTGAGGAAGCTGATGTGACCCCCATGTAGCCGTGGGAGTTTTGAATGGAATGTGAAAAATACAAATACCCCCAGACGTGCGCCTGCAGGCACGTTGCGCAGTTAAAGGATTACGGTGGGTGTGTAATACCATGCAGCCCATACCAAGAGGATAACTTCAACGGCATATGCCGCTGATGTTATCCTCTTGATATGGGCTGCAGGAGACAGGTCTGGCTGGCTTGATATCAACCCCCAAGTCTTTTTCTTTCTCTGATTCTTGAAGTATTTCATTTCCCAGATGGTAATTTATATTTGGCCTCCTGCTCCCTACACCTATCTTCATTACATTACATTTGCTTGGGTTAAACTCTAACAACCATTTGTTTGAGAATTCCTTCAGCTTGTCTAGGTCTTCTTGAAGCCTCAAGCAGTTCTCCTCTGTCTTAATCCTTCTCATAATTTTGGCATCGTCCGCAAACATTGAGAGAGATGAATCTATACCCTCCGGGAGACCATTTACATATATCAGAAACAAGATAGGACCGAGTACAGAGCCCTGTGGGACTCCACTGGTGACTTCACGCCAATCTGAGGTCTCACCCCTCACTGTAACTCTCTGCTTCCTATTTCTCAGGTACTCCCTTATCCACTGGAGCACCTTACCAGCTACACCTGCCTGTCTCTCCAGCTTATGTACCAGCCTCTTATGCAGTACTGTGTCAAAAGCTTTCCGACAATCCAAGAAAATGCAGTTCGCCCAGCCTTCTCTTTCTTGCTTAATCTTTGTCACCTGGTCGTTGAAGTCTATTAAGCCAGTCAGGCAAGATTTACCCTCCCTGAACCCATGTTGGTGATTTGTCACGAAGTCCCTTCTCTCCAGATGTGTTACCAGGTTTTTCTCACGATCTCCATCACCTTGCATGGTATACAAGTCAATGACACTGGCCTGTAGTTCAGTGCCTCTTGCCTGTTGCCCTTTTTGTATATTGGGACCACATTAGCCGTCTTCCATATTTCTGGTAGGTCTCCCGTCTCCAGTGACCTTCTATACACTAAGGAGAGTGGCAAGCAAAGTGCCTCTGCACACTCTTTCAGTACCCATGGCGAGATCCCGTCTGGACCAATAGCTTTTCTTACATCCAGATCCAGCAGGTGTCTCTTGACCTCCTCTCTCGTAATTTCGAACCCTTCCAAGGCCGCCTGGTTTACTTCCCTTTCTCCTAGCACAGTGACCTCATCTTGTTCTATTGTGAAGACCTCCTGGAACCTCTTGTTGAGTTCTTCACACACCTCTTTGTCATTCTCTGTATACCTGTCCTCACCTGTTCTAAGTTTCAATACCTGTTCTTTCACTGTTGTTTTCCTTCTGATGTGACTGTGGAGTAGCTTTGCTTCAGTCTTGGCTTTGTTTGCTATATCATTTTCATAACTTTTTTCTGTTTCTCTTCTCACCCTGACATACTCACTCCTGGTTCTCTGGTATCTCTCTCTGCTTTCTGGTGTTCTGTTATTCTGGAAGTTCCTCCACGCCCTTTTGTTCAGTTTCTTTCCTTCCAAACATGCCCTATTTTACCATGGATTCTTCTTTTGCTTCTCGGATTTTTCCCTTCGGGCCGGGATGAACCGGTTTACTGCCTCCTGACACTTTTGGGTAACATAGTCCATCATATCTTGTACAGACTTATCTCTGAGGTCTGTATCCCAAGGTATTTCGCTTAGGAAACTTCTCATCTCTTCACAATTCCCCTTTCGGTATGCCAGCCTTTTGTTTCCTAGTTCTTTTTGGGGGGAGATAATTCCTAGCTCTACCAGGTACTCAAAGTTCAATACACTGTGATCACTCATTCCTAAGGGTGCTTCCATCTTAACTTCCCTTATATCCCACTCATTTAGGGTAAATATCAAATCAAGCATTGCTGGCTCATCATCTTCTCATTCTTGTTGGTTCCTTGATGTGCTGGCTTAGAAAGTTTCTTGTTGCCACGTCCAGCAGCTTAGCTCTCCATGTTTCTGGTCCTCCATGCGGGTCTCTGTTCTCCCAATCTATCTTCCCATGGTTGAAGTCTCCCATCATTAGTAGTCCAGATCCATTCCTGCTAGCAACAGAAGCTGCTCTCTCTATTATGTTAATGGTGGCCATGTTGTTTCTATCATATTCCTATCTGGGTCTTCTGTCATTTGGTGGTGGATTATATATGACTACGACTATAATTTATTGCCCTCCAGTTGTTATGGTACCTGTTATGTAGTCACTGAAACCTTCACAGCCCTGAATAACCATCTCAAAATCCCAGCCTTTTCTTACCAGCAGAGCTACACTACCACCACCTCTTCCTTCCCTCTCTTTCCTCATAACATAATAGTCCTGTGGGAACACTGCATTTGTTATGGTTTTCGTTAGCTTTGTTTCTGCGAGAGCTATTATGTCTGGGGTTTCCTCTAGTACCCATTCTCCAAGCTCATTTGCTTTATTTGCAATTGCATCTATGTTAGTGTACATTGCCTTGAGGCTCACTTTCTTCTGTTCCTTCTCAAATTGCCTCCTTGGTGAGTGTTCTGCTGGTGGGGGAAGCTGTTCCATGGGTGTGAGGATTTGTGAGGTGGATAACAGAGTCTGAGAGGATACTGGGATGAGGGGTGGGGGGGTCAAGTGAAGGGGGAGGGACAGGGAGGGTATGGGGTGAAAGGGGAGGGAGAACAGGAAGGAAAAGGGGGGAGGGGGGACTTGGCAGGAGGCAGGAAGGGGTAGAAGGGTGGGGATTGGGTGTGGGGGGAGGGAGATTTGGCTGAGCATTTGAGTGGGGGCAGGGAGGGTTTAGGGTAGGGGGGTTTTCTATGCAGAGGGTGGTGGGGTTGCCCTTCCGATGGT